CATTCTCTCGCAGAAAGCCCTCTAGAATCCCAACACACACTGTGAATTATGTGAACTACTGAGAGATGGGAGATGTCTCAAAATCATAAAGATGATTTAGGAATTAAGTCTCCAAAGATATTTTGGTGTCTAATACCTATCGATTACATTTTGCATTCAAGTCTGAATTTATTGTAGGTTTCTAACTTTGTGCTTATGAATGTCAAAAGGAAAATTCTCTGTTGTACTCTACCCTGTACCTAAAATTAGTCTCCTATGTCCTTGAAATTTAATTAAACCAGATAGACTTTTAAATTGTTTGCCCACCATATGTTGGAAAAAGAGTAGCAAAATTAAACGAATAAATCACATCAGAGAGCAAATTAAATACACTGTTTGAAGCCAGCCTCTCTCTCATTTTCCTCATTGTTAAAACTGAGTCAATGCTGACAATAAGTATTTAAAAGTGGTCAGGACAAAGCACTTCAGAATGTGTTGTACAGAAAGCTGTGCATGAAAGACATTGAATGGAGTATGCTTTCTAAAGTGTTTTTCCCATTCCTGATTGCTTTGATGTGAAGCTATAGTAGTATGAATTGCATTCTAGACCTGATGGAGTAGAAATAAAAGCTTTACGAAGATGAAAAATGAAGAAAGAAAACCATGTCAGAAATATAACCTGCCTGATTTACATGTTGCCTACTGTAAAGTTAAGTCAAGAGAAACTAATGTAATTACTTTGTAAAACACAGAAAATTACTAAATTCATAAAGGGAAATTAAAAACTGAGAAAAAAAAATCTTATTTGATGAAAATTGTTTAAAGCCAGCACCTAAGCATGTCCATTATGACACCGTAAGATAATACACATAAATGTATGCTGTTTAAAAAGTGTCTGTAGAAAGCATTTGCCCAAATCTCAGGAAATGTAGTCTTCAAAGCATAATTCTTCTAAAATACTCTGGAGTGCAAACATCTGAGACAAACCCAGCAAAAGAACACTTTGATCTTGCTATTTATTTATTTTCTGTTTCTCATCCTATCTTGTGACCCTTTTCCCTATGTCTTTATCAAGGACAGATTGAGTTATGACTATGTATTATGCAAGACTAACTTCACATCCTTTAGAAGGATAAAGTTAATGACTTTAATGGCAGTGGATTCTGTGACTCCTGCTGATGTCCAGTAGCTTCCAGTTGATTTTTGATTGTGGTTTTAAAATCTTCAAAAACATAAATAGCTTGGTATTTAAGCAAGGGAGATCATGTCTAGTTTAAAATGAGTAAGTTTTATGGGTAATATGATTAAAATGATAGAGATGTTTGTAACATCATTCAGACTATTTTACCAGTGACTAAGGTGGTCAACAGCACAGGTTGAAGAGAGTCTTTGGATGAGTCTTCAAGGTAGGCTATGTCAGATGGTATGAACTGAATACGACCTTGAGAATGAAGAGTCAGTCTGTAACCCCACCAGAAGGTACCCTAGGTAGGTTGCCCGGTAGTTCACCAAGTCTCTGCGTTAATGGAATACAAATCCACTATGTTAAGGGAAGGTACTTGAGGTCAGTTCTTCATCTTACATTTTGAAACATGAAAAAAAGTGTTCTCTTTGTCAAAGGATCGAAATGGTTTGCTTTCTCCGTGGCTATTCCCCCAAATCTTTATACGTAACAGGATGTTGGAAGATAATCTGAAATCTCAAACTGTAGCTTTGACATAAGATTATGGTGGTTTAGAGACAGGGTTTTTTTAACTACATCTGTGCTGCTGAAGTAAATCATTGGGGATTTTATTGTTCCTGAGGTCAGCTATGACCACATGGCTCATGGCTGCAGTGTGTAGCATTAGTCCACAGCGGAACAGGTTCATCTGGGAGAAAGTTTGTTGGCATGGTCAACGCCAGAGTGAGCTAACCCACAAGCAGCACGGACAATGAAGTTCCAGCACGTGGGTTGACCCCTAGCTCCCTTCAGCAGCAGGGAATAAGTCATTCTATCCCTGCTGTTTCATTTTGGGTAAAACTGGTTTAAGGGATCAGGGTCCAATAGGACACAAACCTGACTCTGCAGTCTTGTGGGAAAAGTATCCTCCTAGCACAGATGTGTGGGTCTTGATCTCTGCAGGGTTTCATTGTTAATTTTCAACACTTTTGGCCAATTTCATTGGAAAGGGCAGAGACCTCACCACCCTGAGGTCTTTCACGTGATGTCTGGTCAGGTGGGAGAGCTCTGATGGGGTCAAGTCTTGCCTGTGAGACTACAGATGCTGGTAGTGCTCGGAGGGCAGGCAGGTGCCAGACTACAAAGCCCCATCAGTTTCTGGGGGACTTTAATGATGAAAATCACATGGTAGTTACGGAGCTACAGCACCTCCAGGGTTAGAGGTGGGGCTGTAGGGACTGTAGATTTGTTTGCTTTCAGTGGCACTTAGATAACTGCAACAGCTACAGCTTAGGTGTATCTCATGCTTAGTTTTTGTAAGAGTGTTATATCAAACATAGAAACAAATGGCAGGGCAGAAACACAGTGTCATTCTCTTAATTATTTAGTCTTTGAAAATAGTTTTTATGATAAAGTTTGGAAAAAAGTTACATAAACACACACTTTTTTGCAACCAGCAAAGAGCTCCATGTTGGAAGAACAGGAAATTAAACAATCCAGAGAATTATCAGGGAGGAGATTCAAATCTGCTCAAGCAGAGAAGGAGATCAAGCACATGCTCTTCATACCCCAGGTGAAAGCTGTACCTCTTGTATACAAGATAAATCAGCATCTACTGCAGTCCTAAAGAAAAAACTAGCATGGGGACTAGGCACACTTCCCTCCAGGTTTTGTGAGAAAGAAAGTGGCACAGCTAACCATCTGTGATGGGAAAAGCAGGGGTCTAAATCCTATTGGGAAACAAGTGGCTCCTTACACCTAAAGGTTAGGTGCCGAAGGCCTGAAAGAATGTGATTTAAACATCCATGTCCCTAATCTCAGATGGCTTCCCACTCAGGTTACAACAGTGTAAACTCAAAAGAAGGACTGTGGCATTGAAGACAAATGCTCAGCCCCACATGACAAAGCAGCAACCCAACAGGGCATGGCAGAAGTCGGGACTCCAAGCCCTGGTGTTGAGCTCAGTACTTTTTTTTTCCTCCCGTATATCCCTCAGGAGTAACAGAAATTAAATTTTTAAAAAATGAATGAAGTGCATATGGCAACACAGCTGCTGAAAATCTGCTACCCTTTTTAATCACCTCTAGTGTCCTGGGCATGCATTTTATCCTTCAAACTCAGTAAAAGGGAAAGTGCTGTGAGGAAGGCAGATGCCTGTATTATTGGAGGACTTTGTGGTGTTATTAAGTCATGCAAGAGAAGCCTTGTTTATAAGACTATACAGAACTTACATCTCAGTGGGTTCATCTTCAAAATGCTTTACATATTTGTAATCATTAGGACAAGCAGAATTTCAGAGTTTTCACACAGGGACTGCAAACTGAAAATAAATAAAATTGAAAAAAAAGGAAGGACCCTGCTTTTTCTTAATGATGGTGAGCTTTTGAAATGAAAGGGATATAAACCCTGAATAAATGCTCAAACAGCCTTGCAATACCACAATTTTCCACCTGCTCATGAGTACACTGTAGAATAATCCTCAGGCTGAAGTGACAGGAGCTCCAAAGCACTGTTTATTGTCTATCCTTTGTCCATAAGCACTCAGTGTCATAAGCAGTCAGAGTGACTATTTCTCATTTGGTAGCCTTGGATCACACCACTCATTATTCATGTTTGCATGTCAGCTTCAAGGTAAGGAGAGCAAATCTGGTGATATATTCAATTCCAATGCTGGAGCTGGGGAGAGAGAAAAATGCAATTATTGAAAGAGGTACTTCTGTGAAGGAGCAGTGATTTACGTACTGAATAGGTGTAAATTATCCTCCCTTCCCACCCCCAAGTTCAGCAAATGTACTCCTTATTCAATATCTTGGTGCTGTGGGGTTTCTTTCTTGCAGTCTGATTCTCTGTTAAGATCAGAAGGCTGTGGTTTAGTGAGAGGTATGAGGGAGTGCTCTTGGTGAGGAAGTGTGCTCTTTGTGAGCCCAAGAAGTGGTCATTTTAAGTCAACAATGAAATATTTGTTGGTCGAAGAGAAGGGCTTTAACTAAGGCAAGCTGCTGGACCTAAAATTTATCCCTGCTGTAATGAAAAAGAATAGAGCTTCTTGTCTGTTGATTTTGAGTCCCTCATGGAGGGCTGTCAGTAACTGTTAACTTGTGTATTATTGTGCTATCAGACAGGAGAAACATCAGTGAGAATTTACCAGCACAGTCACAAACCTTTCATCACACAGTTATCATAGTGATAAAGTTCAGTTGTAGTTACCTCTCCAAAACCAAATTGTTACCCACTCGGACAAGCGAGAGAATGGATTTCTGCAAGATGGTGCTACATTAGCTCACACTATTGCACCTAACTCCTGGTTACCACTACCCAGTGCACTTTGAAGTACTGATTGTCAGAGAGCTCCTGTGAGCAAGGAGGGACTGTGATCTGTCCTTGTTTTGTAGATCAGAGATGGAGGTGCAAGGCTGTGGTTAGATTGAGCAACGGATACACACTGTCATGAGCGTGGGCCCCTGGATCTCTGGGTCATTCAATTCAACCTGGCTGGAGCAGAGTCCTGCTACCAACATGACCGTATTTCCTCCCCACAGGCAGCCCAAGGAGAGCGATGAGAAACCTGTGGAGTCAGATCTCTTCCCTAAGGGGTTGGGATACAGCTTGCTGCTCAGGGCACTTGATTTAGTCAAAGCTAGAAAAATTAAAGCTCTCATTCACAAACACTGGCAGTCAGCTAATTTCCGTGTATTTTTACGTGACTTTTAATTGCTTACTTGTCTTTGAAACCTGGACTTTGTCTCATAGCTTAACTGGCTAATTTGCTTAGGTGCTTTGGAGGCATACACCTCAACTACTCAAGTATATGGCATGCTTGATACGATTGTGTGGCTTATTTGTCTTCTTTATCCCCCAGGAAGATGAAGTTGCTCGTGACAGTCGATTCAATTTCAGTGGCTATGGCATGGGTCACTGCCTCCAAGTCAAAGATGGCACAGCAGTCAAGGCTGCTCCACCCAACCCACCCCCAGCACCACCAAAGGATTCAGATTCCATCAAAAAGAAGTTTGTTGACCGTGCAAAAAGGATTGATACAATATCCCGTGCTGCATTCCCACTCGCCTTCCTCATTTTCAACATCTTTTACTGGATTACATACAAAATCATACGGCATGAGGACATTCACAAGAAATAGGCAACTCTGGTTTGCCAGGACTTCTTAGCCAAAGTGATCCACTTGTAAATAAACAGTGAAATGTCTTTCTGTCATTTGGACTAAGGGTTTCTTCCCCCCCCCCCCCCCCCC